AGTTTCAATGGGCTGAAATCAAGGGCCCTGCACCATCCTGAACCTCTAGGGAAAAATCTATTTTCTTGCCTTTCTTCTTTTCTTGAGAGCTGCATTCTTTGCATTTATTCTGTTTTTAATCTCCCTCTGCCTCTCTCTTATAAGGGCACCTGTGGTTATATTTAGGGTCTGCTTTAGATAATCCAGAACAATCTCCTCATCCTAAAATCCTTGAATTATTCACATCTGCAAAGGCCTTTTCCCAATATCAGGTAACATTCACGATTTCCAGAGATTAGGACCTGGATATCGTGTATGACCATTATTCAATCTGCCACAATGAGTGATCCCAACCTCTCTGAGCCATGGGTTTCAATTAATCAGCCAGGAGAATGTATTGTTCTCCCAAGGAGGTATCTCTATCCAGGGAAATGCTGCTTCTTCATTCGCCCATAGAAAAGGATATGAGCAGGAATGGAGGTTATAAAAAAAATGACATAGTCCCTGCCTTCAAAGGACTCCACAGTTTTGTTATTTTTAATTTTATTTTTGTTGTTTTTAAATGTAGACTATATATCCTTGGCAGTGGAATCTATTGATGGTATTATTTATGCTGTAGGAAGGGAAAAAATTTTTACTCTCTTAGGTTCAGTTGCTGAAACATGTAAGTTAAATTGTCAAAAGATAGATTAACAGGAGAAAATACTGGTTTCATATGCACACAGGAGGCCTCACAGAAAAGAAGTGAAAAGCCCAAAAAGAAGTTAGGCCTGGGAGCTTATATACAATATTAACAAAAAGTGATTAATTTTGGAGACATGACAAAAAGAGAAAGGTATTTGGGCAGCAAATCTTGGAAAGGTAAATTTGGGGAAGGTAAAATATATGGAAAAATCTAATGAAGATAAGGGTTATTTTAGTAAGGTTTGCTTGTGCAGACCCATCTTGGTTCCGACTTTCTGTCTTCTGTGATAAGATCGTTTTCCTGGTATTGGGGTGGGAGGGGAACCCTTTCACAAAGAGAAATTTATTTATGTCTTGCTTTTCAGCAGATAGGAGGAAGACCAAGAACTTTTTATGCATTTACTGCTTCTTAATTGCCTTGAGCTCAAGATAATGCTTATGCTAAAGTGGCATATTTTCAGGTGGCACATTCTGATCCCCTTCAATGCAGATGTCGCCAAGTCTTCTAATCATGAGGACTTGCTCTTGCCTGTTATTCTTATTTTTCTGAGCCCTGTTCTCCTATAACTTTCATTCTGGTTGCCAGAGAATGAGCTCACACACACACACTAATATGCATATAAAATAATAGGTAATAGTAAGAGCTATGTTTTTAAAAGTAAGGGAGATGGAAAGTAAAAGGGCAGGGATGGTGGTACCCTTTTATGTAGGGTAGCCAGGGAAGACCTCTCTGATGAGATGACATTTTAGCAAATGCCAGAAAGAAATATTGGGTTGCCAGAAAAGTTATGACGCATTTTTGCAACAAAAAACATAGAAAAAATACGTCATGACCTTTCCGACAACGCAGTATAAAAGAACAAGTCAGACAGCAAGGTAGGGGAAAAGAACTGTAGACCCAGGAAGTAGCTCATGCCAAGGCCCAGGTACTTCCCTGTGTTCCTGTGTTTAAGGTATAGTAAAGAAGCCAGTGTAACTTCATCCTCCCACCCCAATATCTCACAACTTCTCAGGCTCGCTACCTCTCCTTTCTTGTTCCAGCCAACTCAGCCCTTTATATGTCATTACTATTGTTTTTCCTGAGTTAATTCCCACTGATTGCCTATTGTGCACTAACATTCTAACCACAGTAACAAATCTAATTCCCTTCAAAAATGGGCGAACTAGAGCAGGAAGAGGTTAAACAAGTTGTCCAAAGTCATACAGTCAGTAAACGACTGAGCTGAAATTGGAATCCAGGGAGTTTGGTTCCGACATTGACCACCTACATCATTGTCTACCATTTCCACAGACATCAAAGCTGTTTTCTTTCCCTTCAATGCTCTCCTCTACCCATGGGAATCCTTAACACTCAGTTTTTGTCTTTCTTCTAAATCATTCCCATGGGATTTTCTCCCGGCGCCCACCTTCACGGTGTTTAGCCCTGTCCATTATGTGTTAGGTGGCTATGTATCTTTTGGTTCCATGTGTGATAGTCCTATTTCCCACCAAGGGACCATAAGTTCCCTGACACCAGGGCCATGTCCCACACTTCAGCCATAGCATCCGCAGGGGCTGGCACAATAAGTGCTCAGGAAAAAATTGTGGACTAATGGCTACTTTTCATCAGTTCGAAGACACACAGTTTTGTTACATTTAACATCTCCAAAATCATTCCATGGATGGTGTGTCAGTGTTAACCAGCGGGTTTCTTTTCTCTTTTAGCAGCCCCATAGATTTGCTACTACAGTAATTAGAAATCTTGACCTTCACCCTTCATTTGGTGAATGGGTATTATGAAAATTTACTCAGCATGGTGGAATGAAGAGGAAATGACCTTGCTCTTTTCTGACCACACCAGTGCTGGAGCAGAAAGCTCTTTGATACTATTCAACACACGCTCAGTAAAATTCCATTAATTAGGCTACTTATGTGACTGATGCAATAAAGAAAAAAATTCACATGTAGAAAATTGTGGTGAAAGGCTCAGAACTTTTGTTACATATTCAAGGCCCCTGTTACAGGCATTAAAACAGAAGAGCCTACCACCCAGCAGAGAAAGTTGTTTTTTTGTTTTTTTTGAGTTTTTGAAGTACACAGATAACATCTTCTACAATTTATTTTCTCTGCTGAAAAAAGAACCTCATGCAGGAAACATTTTAAAACCAAGTAAATAAAAGAGATGCCCACAATTTCCTGTGAGTCTGATTAAAAATAGGAACTCTGCAATCATGAAAGTTGCTCATCTGGCAGCTGCAAGGCCATACCTTGGGAAGCTGAAATTGCTGGCAGATGCATAAAGCAGTCTGTGGCAGGTGTTCATACGTGCCCTTTTGGGGAGGAAAGGCTACATTTCAGAGGCTTACATGGGCACATATATAAATGGCTTCTTAATAATAAAAGGTAGGTGCCCAAAAATGGTTTGATTTACCTCTCTCTCATTTCCACCTCCACCGCAGTCCCCCAAAGTTGCCCTATCCATGTTCCCCACAGTGAAGTCAAATTCCTTGCACCAAAGAGATAGACTGAAATTTCCCCTAAAAAAATATGGGGCTGCAAATATACATCAAAGTTTTACTCTCTCCTCCTCTATCATACCCAAAATATTGCAAACCAATGCAGACGTTAGCTCTGTTACCAATATTTATGGATGCCTTTTTTTTTTCCTGTTCCTGAATTACAGGCACATGGATTGGATCTTCAAAGCAATGTACAGGCTTTAAGCTGAGTGATTCTCATGCAAGTCTGTGGGAGGTACACAGCGAGAATCCTGTAATATCTCAGAGGATTTATTCCTTTTTAAGTTCTTTTATAAGAAGCCTTTGCTAAGGGATTTACAAGAACTAAAGATTATTTAGTGATAATGGATGAGAAATGTTGCTGGAAGTGTAAAAGGCAGCCACATTCCCACCGAAAGAATTCCTTATAAATAATGTCATTAGGGCACAAAGAATACCAGATGAATTTAATCATTAGCTCCTAATTGAAGGGCTCTGCCAAAATTGCTTCTCCTTGCTACGTTAGCTATTTTCTGTTCAGTGGGGCTCTGTCAGAGGTAAACAAAGAGTAGGTGAAGGACCATGATTAATCACCAAGCTGGTGAGAAGTCTGGCCGGTGGACTGGCGGTGGGAATTGGATACTGCAGCTTTTATTTCTCTCATGCAGAGACACTTGCCCCATTAACTCCCAGAGGGGCCTCCTAATCAATGGGTTTGGCCAGCGGAAGTTAAATGGTGGCTTATTAAGGGATACCAGGGCAAGATTCTCTTAAACAAAGCAAGGGCCAAATAATGCTTCTAGAATGAAACAGGATACTGTCTTTGAATGAGTGTTTTCACTGAAAGAAAAAAAAATTTACTCAGTTTGCAGGCTGCAGTTGTAAGGGATGGGCTTTACATTCAAATAAACATTTCTAGGAATTCTTAAAGAGGGCATGTATATACACAACTTTATATATGAAGCCTTATAAAGTCTCAATTGAGAAAGTTCCTGGCCTAAATCAACTGAATTTTGTAATTAATTAAACAATAACCAAAATATTTCTCATTTAAAATTTTGAAAAGATTCACTAAAAAGTTTTTATAAATCCATTAATCCTCTTTCATGTAGTATTTCATACAGTAGTAGAGTGATCAAACTTGATCCTTTCTTTCGAAAAGTGGGACTTTTCTAGGGTTAGCTTTTTAAATCAGTTCTATTTCTACAGAAATAAAATCTAGAAGGCAAATTAATGCCAAGAAACATCCTGGAAATTATTTTAAGGTCCTTGATATGAGTTCTTAAAATTTTACCCCTTCATCTAAAAGGGAATATTCAGTGAATTGAAGGTCCTGGTTAAAATAGAAGTTGAATGCAGATAATTCCACACTCTTCTACTCACCCAATTCTTACACACATAAAACTATAGTTTAAAGTTTTATTTTAGGATATTCAAGTAGATTGCATTCCCTTAGCCATGAAAGAGTTCACTGAAAACTAAATCTCTTAAATTGATCTGTATGAAAACACAGCACCTCCGAGGTAACTGTTATTGTGAGAAATGACTAAATGCGTCCACTTTTTTTCCACAGCTGAAGTCAACGCTGAATGACGATCCTCTGTTGTTCCACATTTTGCAAGGACTAGAATGTTTGTGGAACTGAGAAAAGATGGCCGACTCACTGACAGTTTAGGTGAGAACCGCATGCCAGAGCCATCTATTTGGTTACCTTACTACAAGAAAACAGGCCACTCTCGGCCTTTTCAGGCCGTACCTCCCTGAGGCCGGAGCCCGCCTGGCGCGCCCCAGCCCTGCAGCTCCCGCCGGGGCGGAGGCCGCGGGACAGCTGAGATGCGTGGCGGGGGCAAGGCGCGGGATTACGGTGGGATCATGGCAGGGCTGGGCTCCCATCCCTGGTGGAAGAAAACACTTCACTTGACTGGGGGAGCTTTGCTGGCTGCAGCTGCATATCTGCTCCACGAACTCCTGGTCATTAGGAAACAGCAAGAGATTGACTCCAAAGATGCTATTATTTTACATCAGTTTGCAAGACCTCACAATGGTGTTCCCAGTTTATCTCCTTTCTGTTTGAAAATGGAAACTTATTTAAGGATGGCTGACTTACCCTATCAGACGAACTATTTTAGTGGACAACTTTCTGCTCAAGGGAAAATGCCTTGGATTGAATACAATCATGAAAGAGTTTCTGGCACAGAATTCATAATTGACTTTCTGGAAGAGAAACTTGGAGTGAATCTAAACAAACATCTTGGCCCTCATGAAAGAGCCATCTCCAGGGCGGTGACGAAGATGGTGGAGAAGCACTTCTACTGGACGTTAGCTTATTGCTAGTGGGTGGACAATCTCAATGAGACCCGGAAGATGCTCTCTCTTAGTGGTGGTGGCCCCTTCAGCAACCTGCTGAGGTGGATCGTGTGCCACATAACAAAAGGAATTGTGAAACGCGAGATGCACGGCCACGGCATTGGCCGCTTCTCAGAGGAGGAGATTTACATGCTGGTGAGAAGGACACGCAGTCTTAGCGGGGCTTTTGGGTAATGTACCACACCTTCTATTCTACATTTTCTCTCCTTTTTTTTGATGATTACTTTTTGCATGATTAGTAAAGCACTGTTAGTTTACTGAAAAAAAAAAAAAGAAAAAGAAAACAGGCCACTCTCTCTGATGAGAAACCCTCACTACTTGATATATTGTAAGATGAAGACAAATCTTTCAAGGGGCTTCATGTGGAGTTAGACAATAGACCTCACTGTGTTCTCGGACAATCAAGTATTACAGAGCAAATTCACTCAGATCTATATACAAATGAGCTTCTTAGGGAAATGGGAACAGCAAACATGCAGAGGAAGATCTAAAGGACCAATATTTCTAAAGTAATTATCTTCAAGCCAGTCAGTGTGTAGAAAAAATATACAGAAGGTGCCAAAAAATGTATACAGTAAAACCTTGGATTGCGAGTAACTTGGTTTGTGAGTGTTCTGCAAGATGAGCAAAGATTTCTAATACATTTTAACGTGGTAAACAAGCGATGTCTTGCAATACGAGTAGTTTGTTTCCAGAACGAATTATGCTTGCAAACCAAGGTATTACTGTACACATTTTAAGAAAGGAAAAAACTATTAAAATTATGCTGATGGGAACCACTTTGAGCACCTCTTGTAATTGCAGAAGTCAAACGTGACTTGTATTCATCTTTTGTTATCGGTATATATTATGACAATACAGTTTTTTTCTTTCTTAAAATGTGTATACATTTATTTTGGCATCCTCTGTATACAACACTTTATTCTAAAAATTCCCACTGAAAGCCAATGAATGCTCTGGGTGCCCTGCCACTCCTAATGGTCTGGCCTTATTGAAGAAATTAGTCAATGGAGGTGAAAAATGAGGGGAAAAAAAGGAGAGAAATAAGCATTCTTATTCCTACTTTCCCTTTTAGTCAGAGCCCAGGACAGTTGAAAGCCAGAAGGGCCGAGCATAGGAAAAATTCAGGGATTTCTCAGGCCACTCACTGATACTGTCTGTCTTATGTGGTCATTCTTCCGTTTGATTCTAGTTTCACTAAGGATACAAGAGCCACATATAGTCTTCATTCCCTTCCTTTTGTGTAGTGGCAGTGATGAAAAGCCACCCTTTGGGATCCAAAAGAATTTGGAATTTGAATGGAGTTGTTTTCAGAGAGAAAAGACAGCGAGAAAGATATAAGAATGTAAGCAGATCCTGTGAAATCACTTATATAGGACTCTCTGTTTTCAAAGTGCATGGGAGTTCAAACGTGTGAAGAGTGCATATGGAAGCTGAGTAGCTAATTTATTATCATTGACCAATTTACTATCATGTCTCTTCTCCAAATCTTGCCTTAATTGCCTGCTTTGTGCAAATGGAGCTTGCCCTTTTAAATATCTTTTTATTGCTAGATGGCACAATGTTTCCTGTTCATATGGAGGTTTTTAAAAAAAAATTGTTATTGAGATAAAATTGACAACATAAAATCCACAATTTTAAAGTATACAGTTCTGTGATTTTTTAAAAGTATATTCACAGTGTCGTGCAACCTGTATCACTAATTTTATAACATTTCTGTCACCCCAAAAAATCCTGTAGCTGTTTAGCAATCCCATTGCCCCTCATCCCCCCATTCCCTGACAACCACTAATCTACTTTCTGTCTCTACAGATCTGTCTATTTATACAATGTCACCTTCCTTGTGTCAGGCTTGTTTCATTTAGCATGATGTGTTCAAGTTTCATCCTTGCTATAGCATTAGTACTTCGTTCCTTATCTTGACTGAATAACATTTCACTTTATGGATATACTACTTTTTGTTTATTCAGTTGATGAACATTTGGGTTGTTTTCACTTTTGAATAATGCTTCTGTGAGCATGCACGGACAAGTTTTTGTTAGAGCATTTGTTTTCAGTTCTCTTGGAAGTATAGCTGGGAGTGGAATTGCTGGGTCATACAGTAATTCAATGTTTAACTTTTTGAGGAACTGCCAGACTGTTTTCCACAGCAATTACACCATTTTATATTCCCACCAGTAATGGATGAGGGTTTCAATTGCTTCTCATCCTCGCCTATACTTGTTATTTCCTGTCTTTTTTATTATAGCCATCCTAATAGATGTGAAATGACATCTCATGGTTTTGACACTTTTCCCCAATGACTAATGGTGCATGTTTTTGTTGTTGTTGTTGTTTAATTAAAGTTTATTGGGGTGACAATTGTTAGTAAAGTTACATACGTTTCAGGGTGTATGTTTTTAATTTCTATTTTGAACTACCTTTAGGCTTACAGAAAAGTTTCAAAAGTAGTACAGAGAGATTACATATGTATTTGGGTCATATTCTGGACTATCTATTCTTTTCTATTGGCCTATAGTATTTGTCTATTTGTGTGTCATATCACACTATTTTAATTATAGAAGCTTTATATTATGTTTTAATGTCTGGTAGTGCTAGTTCTCCCTTGTAGGTGCTCTTTTTCAATGTTTCACGGTGATTTTTTTGCATTTGTTTCTCCATAAGAACTTTAGGATCAACTTATCTATAAAATAGCTTCTTAGTATTTTTATTGGAGTTGCATTGAATTTATAAGTTAACTTAGGGAGAACTGACATTTAAAAAATATTGTCATTCTAGCCAAGAACAGAAAATGGGTTTCCAATTGTTCAAGTATACTTTTGTGTCAGGAGTGTTTCAAAACTGTCCTTATATAGGTTTTGCCCATTTCTGGTTAACTGTATGTCTAAGCTTTTAATCTTCTTTGCTGCTATTGTAAATGGGATGTTCTTTCCATTATGTCCTCTGTTTGTAGTTTGATATATGAAGACTATTGATTCTGTATGTTAATTTTATATCCTGCTATTTTACTGAATTCTTTTATTGTTTGAGTTGGTTTTATCATCAAGACTCTGAGTTTTTCAAAGAGTACTACCGTATCATCTTCAAATAAAGGTAGGCTTACTTTCTCTTTTCCCATTCTTATGTCTCTGATTGATCTCTTTTGTCTAATTACATTGGTTAACACATTTAGTACAATGTTTAATTCTTGCCTTGGTCCTGATCTTAATAAAAATACCTCTAGTGTTTCCCCATTAAATAGAATACTAGCTTTAATAGTAAGGTATACATATTTTACTATGTTGAGAATTCTTATTTCTTTGTTTTTTTAATTAAGAATGAGTGAATTTGGTCAAAGGCTTTATCAGCATCTATAGAAAGTGTGCATTCTTTGAATATATCCTACCTGGTTATATTGTATTATTATATTTAATGTGATGTTGGATTATGTTTGCTAATATTGAGTTTGTTGGTTGTCTTAACTTTTCCCATGCCTCAATAAAGACTCCATTCAATAAATTTTCTTCAATCCTAGCTGTGTTAGGAATTTTTTGTCTAGAATTTTTTTATTAATATTTGTGAATGATATTGGTCCATACTTCCTTTGTATAGTCTTATTTAGTTTATGTATGGTGTTATGCTTTCTTTATAAAAGGAATTAGGAATTCTTACTTTTCAATGTTCTAGAATAACTTATAGACCATCGGAATAATCTGGTCTTGGAAAATTTTGTAGAAATCACTTATGAACTCAACTGGGCATGATAGCTTTTTTGGTGTGGGTTAGTTTCTTATTAATTCTATTTCTTCTGTAGAAGTCATTCTGCTAAAACTTTTAAATCCAATGGTATCGAATTTGGTAATCTGAATTTCCCTAAGAAATGATCCATTTCATCTAGGGTTTCAAATTTACTTGCATAGAGATCTGTAAAGTAGTTTCTTATCATTTTTAATTCTTTCTGCTTACATGGTTATCTTCCCCTCATCATTTCAATTTGTATATTTGTACTTACTCTTTCTTTTCTTGATCAAGTTAGCTAGCAGTTCATCTATTTTGTCATTTTTTTATTACAATTTTGATTTATTCATTAGTTCTGCTGTTTTTCGCTTCCTTGGGCACTCTATCTCAGCCCTAGGGTGTGTGGCTGTTTCTTATATCTGCTATTCCTATATTCTTTAGAGTTCTCTTTACTTCTTACTAGCCAATTCCTCACTATCCAATTTCTTCATAGATAATAATTCTTTATATTAAATTTTTCCCATTCAAATTACTGTGTGGTTTCTGTCTCCTGATTAGACCCTGACTGATATATTTGCTAATCTTGGATTTGTTCTTTTTCCACCCACTCAGCTACTAACTTCCTCCAGCCTTATCAATTCTAGATAAATGAAATATTCTTATCATACCTGTTGATCTTTCATTGGAGATGAACCCCTCTGATCTCTCTTTCATGATGACATCAGGTTACTGTCTCCAATATGCTATTAATCTAATCATGCCACTACTCAATTTAAAAGCCCTCAATGGCTACACTACCCTAAATATGAATTCTAAACTTCTAAGCATAGAACACAAAGCCCTCTATGCTCTGGCCCCTTCTTAACTGTTGTTAACCAAATCTCTTGTCTCCTTTGTGTCTTCCTGCCATTTGCACTTTAGGCCCAATGAAAAATTTGAAGTTCCTTGAACAATTGTATTATTTCTCTCTCCTCTTTCAGCTATTGTTAAATTGCTCCCTGTCCATAGAATTCTTTCTCTGATTCCTATTTGGTGAATATCTACTTATTCCTCAAGATTCAATTCAAAGGTTCATCTTCATTTGTTTAGGTCTATCTTCATCTCCTAGAATGGAAAATTTCCTCAAAGAAAAGAACCATGTCTTACTTGTCTTAAATTTCCAAATTCTTCCCCAAAGTAGGCACTAGCTACATGTTTGTTGAATATTGAATGAATGGTGAATTTTTATAACTGTAATTAGTCTTGGTATAATCCTGTGAGTTTGGGTTACTTTTGGATATCTAAGAAACAGCTAAGGACATAAGAGGGCATTATTAGGTCAAGACATTTTCAATTCTCCACAAGATGACATGATGAGGGTATAGAGTTTCAAGTCTTGGGGTCAGTTCCTGTCTCCCGTACATTTTAAGTTGGGTGTTCTTATGTAAGCCACTCTGAGCACAATACTTTAATGTCAC